AGATATAAGTAAAAAGGGATCTTTTGGCACAGTTTTAACCTTGAAATTATGAGCCAAGACACTTCTTCTTTATAAATGAAACACCTAACTAAAACATACACATACACACAAAGATTCAAGGAAATGAGTTAACCGAGTTGCATGAAGTATTCAAAGTCCTAACTCGTTTCGCGAGTGGGTTTAAATTCAGCCTAGGAGAAACACCAAGCGGAGATTGTCTTATCTTTACTGCTTAACTCAATTCACCAGTTCAACACCGATGTCAGCAGATAGGAGCTGGTTTGTACTTGCGTTTAGCTTAGTTGAGAGCTGAACGCTGAGGCAGTTCCTTCGCTGACGCGGGCGTGCTGGAGGGGATTCCGTTGCTGATTGGCTGTTGATCTGGCGCCGGAATGACGTATGGATGACGTCCTTTGGGGAAATCCCTCGTTGGATTGGTTGATTCCTTGATGACACAGAGGCTTGAGCAGTTTTGTTAAAGTCTGAGTTTGAAAGACTTTCAAGTTCTCTTAAGATCGCGAAGTTTCACTGAAGTGTTTGAGTTCTTAGATGGTCTTGCTATTGCGGTGGTACGGCGTGGGGCGCTTTATCGCGCTCACCAAAAGGAAAGCCAGACGTCTCGATCGGGTAAAAACAAGCAAGCAACGAATCTGTGTTGCGGTGGGGTTTTGATCCGCGGTGTAAGTCCATCCCACAGGTCACTGTTCCAATCAGATAGTGGCTGCGGGGTTTGGCCACGCCCTGTGTGGTTCCTTTATCATGCATGAATCACATGCTGTTTGTGGCGAGTATTTCATGGGTCATGCGGTATAAATCCCGTGTTCGCGGCCTGAGGGCATCAGTTAATTTACTCGTCCTTTTCCTGCTGGATATACTAATTCTATGCCTCCACGATCATGAGGTATCCATATGTCGTGAAAAGGCTTTTCAGCTCTGGTACAAAAGATCTCTGTGGTATCTCTTGATTAGATTAATTCAAAGCCTCATGATGGTGATCCAGTGGCATCTCCATGTCCTGTATATGAAATCCCTACACTATGCAGTAGAATTCACTGTCGTCGACACTGCTAATGTAAATAATTATGTCATGTAAATAAAACCATACTATTTTAAAGGTTTCAAGACATTAAAATTATCAATAAGCTATCAAATGTATTTGTCTATTAGTACTGTTGATAAATTAAGTATCAAATGTTATTGGATAAAACACATCAGCAACTGCCTCAACATTTATATACACTCTAAAATAAATGGTGCTAAAGAGCACTAAAAGTGGTTTGCTGGCTCGTAATCATAGGGGAACCATTTTAGTGCTATATAGCACCTGAACCAACCCAAAGAACCACTGAAGAACTGTTTTCCAGTGTGTAGTGCTGAAAACATAAAGCACAGAAGTAACTTGTAACAATCTTGTTTGAATATTACAGGGACAGATGAGCATGAGCACATGTGCTTATCCGGTGGAGAGCGGCTAATGAGGCCCTCTTCACCGGAAAACGAAATGCAGCCATCAAAGGCTTTGAGTGAGTATACTGCAGAAACCAGTGAAAACTGATGTCATATGCTGTTAATCAATGTTATTTCAAACAGATATTACAGCACTTTTCTGATTCTTGATTTGTGTGCAGAGCTTTTGTGATGGAGCAGGGCCTGCAAGACAGGGTGACGGCGGCCTTTGTATAAAAAAATAAAAGGGAAAACCTCAAACAAAAATATAAAGTAAGATCATGTTATTTCTAATACAGAAATCAGTTGACATTGTGCTGTTAAAATGACTGCTTTTGTATTGTTTGTGCATTTATGTAGGATCTGAAATGTCCACAGACCGGTGTTAGCACTGAGGATGGAGAGCCCACAGCAGCATCCTGGAAGTGGTACAGGGTACAGGGCCATGATGAGGCAATTGGGTGCAGACCCTCCATCACTCCACCTGCCCTTACTGCCTCATCTGGCCCAGATGTTGCTGTGGCCTCTACATCCTCAGTGAGCCCAGCCCCAGACACACCAAGGGCATCAAGGAAAAGAACCCGGAAATCAGTTGAGAATCTGATCAAGGAGATGGAGGAGAGGGAAATGACAAGAGAGCAGGAAGCAGTCGAAAGGGAGGAGAAAAGATGGAGAGAAATGGAGGAGAAGGAGGAGAGACGAGAACGAGACAGACAAGAGCGGGAGGAGAGACGACATGCTGAGGACAGAGAAAGAGAAGAAAGGTGGCACCAGGAAGCAAGTCAAAGGGAGGAAAGATTACTTCACCTCCTTGAATCTATTGCAAATAAATATGTATATTTAAACATGGATTTTTGTTTAGAACAAACATGTTTGAAATGAGAATTTAATTTCACACACACACACACACACAAGGGAAGGAAATGAACTCTGCTGGACAATGACCCTTCATAACCTATGTTGAGACTGTTTGCACAAACCACCTTCACTTGCATTAACTACACATAGTAGCAGTGATTAAAGTTCACCCAAACATACACTATAAACTCATTATTTACTTAACTTCATGGTGTTCCATCCCTCTAGTTTTATTTCTGAACATAAAAGGTGATTTTGGTCAAGTATATTCTGTTGGTTTCTGGTCATACAATATTGGCCAATAAAGCCTGACATTTAGAAGC